GTGGAAGGTGGTCACACAATGATGGTTTTTGTTATGGGAGCAGAAAGCCCCGTCTTTCTCCTGTGAAACGACTGGTGGTTTTGAACTGATGCCCTCGCAGATTGAAGCCGAACATGTAACCACAACACCACCAGGGCTCTCTGTGTTCTGTCACATAAATTTATTAATTAGTTACTCCACTCCTCATCTGTCGGTTGGTTGTATCATGGTGGCTTGTGTGTTGCTGTGGTGCCAGAAGCAATGGGCGTGACATTTCAAATACCAGCAGGCTCACCCATGGTCTGTGAAGTTGTCAGCAGTTTCATTGGTCTAGGATCTGCAATCAGTGCCCATGGAAGCAGCTGTCAAGAAATCAAACACTGTGTTTCTTTGGACAAACCTGTGGCAAAATGCAAAACTCATTGCCATAAAGTCAATTCTAACATTAGAGACCTTAGAGGACAGAGTAGAAATGCTCCTTTGGGTTTCTGAAACTTGTCATTTTTATGGGAGCAGACCACTTCATCTCTCTTCCAAGGAGTGGCTGATGTGTTCAAACCTCTGACCTTGTAGCAAGCCACTCAGCACGCACAGGACATAGCCTACTATACCAGCAGGGCGCCTTCTGCTGCATAAGACCTCTTTAAAATGTTAACAAGCCAAAGTCGTCACCTTGAGGAGTAAGGTGCACCTGACCCCAAGCCACAGTATGTTTAATCATCTCATATGCATGTGAAGGCTGGACAGTGTATAAGGAAAACCAAAGAAGAGTTGATGCCTTTGAATTATGGAGTTGGCAAAGAATATTGAATATAAAACTGTGAAAGAATAAACAAATATGTCTTGGAAGAACTATAGGCAGAATACACCCTAGAAGGGAGGATGGCAAGACTTTATCTCACCGACTTTGGACATCGTATCAGGAGGGGCCAGTCAGTCCCTGGAGAAGGACACTGTGCTTAGTAGAGGGTCAGCACAAAGAGGAAGACCCTCAGTGAGAAGAGTTGGCATGACCTGGTACCTCCAACAACAGGCTCCAGCATAGCAGTGATTGTGAGGAAGAAGTGTTTCATCCTGTTGTATACAGTGTCACCGTGTGAGGAGGAACCGGTCAACAGAACCTCTAGCAACAATTACTTTGAAATGACAATCTTGACTGGTCAACAGAACCTCTAGCAACAATTACTTTGAAATGACAATCTTGAGTCATTGAAACCCATAACCAGAAACAAAAGCAAAAAATCAAGCCCAATGGATACAATTCTGATTTGTAGCAACCCCATTTTGTCACAGTAGAGCTGCACTCCTTAGGGTTCCCAGTAGCCATAATTGTTTCCCAGTGGCCATAATTGTCATCTATAAAACCCAAACCCACTGTCATCAAGTCAATTCCAACTCATGGTGAACCCTGCTGGATAGAGTAGAACTGCCCCTGGAGGTTTCTGAGGCTGTAAATGTGGGAGCAGAAAGCCACATCTTTCTCTCACAGAGCAGCCGGTGAGTTCAAACTGCTGACCTTGTGGTCAGCAACCCAATGCATAATCAGCTACACCCCCAGCACACCATTTATAACTACTTGTTTTTCTCCTCTTTGGTTTGTTTTCTAGGTTAATTTCATGCTCGGGGGTTACAGGCAGCCTGGTGTTGGCCAATGAAAAAGGAAATCTGAAGTTTCACATCACTGCAGACCCATTCAAGATAGACTTAATATCTGAAGATGATATTGTGATAAGCGTAAACTCCCTGGGCCAATTATACTTTGAACAGATACAGGCTTCCCCCAAAAAAAGGTATTTGTGCACACTACTTGATACATAAAGAACATAAGAAAACCTGATAGGTTTTATCATATTCATGTTAGCAATTTGGTTTACTTTATTGCCCTTGATGAAAGTTAAAAGGTAGCATACCAGGGAAATTTCAAAAACATGAATAAAAAATTAATGGGCACAATGTAGAAAGAGCTTATACAAAAGGAGGAAGAACAAAAATAAAATTGGCAATAGAAACTGCAACAATACATATTAACATAAATGAATATAAAAATTAATAATGAATTTTAAAAATCATGTAATTAAAGAATTCCATATCCTTTCATTCTATTTTCCATCTGCTGTTTGAAGTTCCAACATGCATATAGTAGACTTCTGTTTGATGGTTTTTTGGTCATTTATAAAAGGGAATACCAAGTAATATAGAGAGCTATTTAGAAGAACAACCAGCAGGGGAATGAGTAACATAAATCTTGTAAAGTGGTTTACCTCTTATGGGCAGGGAGAGGAGGTGTATACTGTTGAAGAAAGAGAGACAATTCCCCCAAAGGATCTAGTCATTTGTTGCTTAAACTCAGTAGTGGTGGGTTGATAGCTGTTCACTTTAGTGTTATTCTTTAAATTCAGCATACACACTTTTGTATGCATTGAAAAAATTATTTCAATCTTTATAGAAGTGAAAACAATCTTTATTTTAAAGCAGAGCTACCAAAGAAAATGAGGATGCTG